GATTTCTTTGTTAATACTTTCTTTATAATACAGGATCTAATAAGATTTTAGTTTAAACTTATTTAGTTTTCTTACGATAAAATATATTGAAACTATTCCCACGCATCGCGTGGGTCTTTTTCTAGTTGATAAATAAAGAAAGGATTTAGAAATCTTCTCCAATTTCTCAAAGAAGATGGATTCTTCTCCCAATGTTGCTTGCAAGATAACTCTAAAAAATGTTGCAGAAAATAAAACATGAAAAATAATTAGGTTTCTTGAGTTTTTTTTTTTATACCCAATTACTAGAAAATAGGAACATAATAAATAAAAGAAAAGTTGTCAGGAAACTGGACCGATCAGTTTAGGAAAGGACCGATTGGTCCGACCAAATCTGCTCATATGTCGCCTTCCGACCGGTTGGTTTAGGAGAGGACTGATCGATTCAATGGACTATGTCCCAACTTTTCATTTTCGACCGATCTGTCTAACTGACTCTGCCCACCTAATCAGCGTCGCACCAATAGGTCTAGGAGAGGTTTGAACGATGCAGGTGGGGAGTGAATGGTCTAACCAACTCTAGCTGCGAGATCAATTTTCGTCTATTTTTGACTCAAACAAGTCCGAAATCAGTGGCGGAGCTAGAACTTGTAATTACGGGGTCAAAATATAAAAAAAAATTAAATCATCGGGGTCAATTTATCTATTTATGGGTATTAATTTAAAAATTTAGCCAAAAACTAACCAAATTTCCAAATTTCATAGGTGTCATATGACCCCTATGATGCTCAACTACCTCCACCACTGTCCGACACTATCTAATCTCGCCACAAGCACCTAAAACATGTACAAAACTTAAGACACGGCCAAAAAAGTACAAAAAATGAATTTCGATACGACAAACGACTCAAAACAAAAGTTAAACATGTGATAGATAGGGAAAACGGCCATTTTCAACCCCAACTATTTGTTGGCGGGTTTTTACAACCCAAACTAAGACCCCCTGTCAATTTCTACCCAAACTCAAAACTAATTCAAATTCAAAACCTAAACTAATGAAACTAAGCCGATTTCAACACGACAGAAGACGGTGTTAAATCGGGAGTTAACGGCTGCTGAGTCAGCGACATCGTGGCATTGACCTGGCATCTGCGCAATGAAAACGACGACGTTTTGCGTGTTTTACTTCAAACGAGCGAAACGACGTCGTTTTAATTTTGGGGAAAATTTAAAATTAGGGTTCCTTTTCATTTGTCTCGAAACAGAGAAACAAAAAGTGAGAGTGGCAGAGAAGAGAGTGTGGAATCGGAAAACGAAGAAGAAGGTTCGTAATCGATTCGTTCGGAAATCATTCCAGGAGAGAACGAATTCAATGCTTAAGTTTCGGATCATTGAGAAGATATAATGAGGTAATGAGTTAAATTGTTAATTGTGAATGTCAATTTTGCATGTTTGAATGGTTGAGTAGTATACTGTTTTTGTTTCTCTATCTAAATTCTATTATATCTATACGAAATTCTTAAGAACTTCAATTTGTTCAAAGGTAGAGTTCGATTTTAGGACAGACACCAAGTGTTCGACGAAATGTCTAAGAGAGTTTGTTTTGTTTTAATGGGGATTTTCAATGTCTTTTTCAGTGTTTCGGATGAGATAGGATTCAATGTGTACCACGGTGGAACTTGGGTGGTAACTGAAAATGATGATGATGCTTATATTGGTGGTGAGGTGCAAAGTTTTCAGTGTAAGCCCGAAGACTTGTTTACGACTGTGAGGACTGAATTGGGTGATGCCGGCTTGTATGGGAAGAAGGTGTGGTATAATTATCCTTTTGAAGAGATGAAAGACAGGAAGGAATTGTTTGAAAAAGATGGTAGTTTCAAGAAGATGTGTGATGGGGGTCGATGGGTTAGGGTTGTTAATGTGTTTCTGTGAAGAAGATGAGATTGGTGGTGGGCTTGAGCCGTGTGAGGAAGAACTGAGAGTAGAAAGGAATGTGGCTCCTTTTGCGGTAAAACACACAAAACGTCGTCGTTTTCATTGCGCAGAAGCCAGGTCAATGCCACGATGTCGCTGACTCAGCAGCCGTTAACTCCTGATTTAACACCGTCTTCTTTCGTGTTGAAATCGGCTAAGTTTCATTAGTTTAGGTTTTGAATTTGAATTAGTTTTTAGTTTGGGTAGATAACACCAAAACGAATCATATCAATTCTGCTTTGGACTCTAGCCAAAATAATAGCTGTGAGGCTTTTATTTTTGGTGTGTTTTTGACTTATGGCTCTGAATGGTCATTGTTTTCATGTTTTTTTAAATTGTGGTTATAGTGATCCCAAATTTAGAGTGGGGACTGGTCTGATAGGGACATCCGGTATAACACCCGTATTTTTCTGGCTCATATCCAAAAAAGCATTGGACTTTATTTATAATTCGTATTCACTTTAATACAAAACTATAATTTACCGTCCGGTACATCGTGGATCGATTTTTTTAACTAAAAATTTAAAATTTAAGTTGTACTATTTGTTTTTTAATATTTTTTTATTTGTTTAGTGTTTAAAATAAAATAAAAAATGTATAATTGTATTTTGATTGTTAATTCTAAGATTTCACCCTTGGTATACGGTTCCGTATTAATATCGACCTAAACCCGTCCAACCATATAACCCCGTCCCCCTTAAATTATATATTATTTTGGTATTTTCTTTTAATAATACTTTTATTTAAAAGATATATAATTCGAGTCAATTTAAAATTTTGCTTTTAAATAGTTTCCATGATATATATATATAATATTAATTTTTTATAGAGTTCAAAGATTATTAATATTATAATTTTTTAGAATTTAAATATTATAAATACTTTAAACATTTTATAATTTTGAATTTTTAGAATGTTTAAAATAAATATAAAGTATAAATATTTATAATTTTTGAATTTTTTGAACTAAAGAACCAGAGTAAACCGGATAACACTTTTAATTTGGGCATTTGATAAATCGAGCTTTCTGTTCATTCATATTCGGAATCATTTTGGGCTTTTTTATAGTATGACTCTGAACTATTGTCCAATTTTTTCAGGCTATGTGGGACATTGTACACATAGTTTTTTGTTCAACGATTGAGCAATATATGTCCGTTTTAAAATTTGAATAATATCATATGCAAAAAATCTTAAATTTTATTAATTATATATTTTATAATAATTCAAAATAATTTAAATATTAGATCAAATAAGAGTGAAAGGAGAATCATAGATTTATGTTTAAATTAGGTAGAGAGGTTTTAGGAAATTAGTTTAAATTTGTTATATTAGCATTAAATCATCATATTTGATTTTCTTAACTATAAAAATCGTACCAAGAACAGATTAAATGTTAATTGTTGGTATGAATATCTATTAAAGATTTTTAGAAATTTTGTTACTCGATTTTTTTTACCCGATTCATTAGTGTTATTCTTTGTAAATATTTTCAAAGACCAAGAGTTTTTGCTAAATGTACATCAAAAATATTACTCTATCTGTTTCACAACGAGTATCATTCTAGAGTTTTAATTTTGTTTCACAAAATGTATTATTCTATATTTTCAATATGATTTTTACAATAAGTTTCGTGATTTACTCTTAACCCAAAGCTAATTTTTATTGAATTTAAATTATCAATTATTTATTAAATAGGGACATATATGTATAATTTAAAGTTTTTTAATTTGTGTGAAATGTATCAAAATGACATAAATATAGATGAAGGAAATTGAATTTTAATAAAAATGGAGCATTTATTGGTATGGCAGTAGGATGTTTACAAGCCGCGTAATATGTTTCAAATTGGGATAAAAGTCACGTAACACTGCCGTAACAATTTGATAAATCAAACGGCCAATCTTTGATTACGTTGGAGAGCTACATGGGCTCCTTTGAAACTTACACAACATGCGAAGGAGCAAAAGTCTTTTAGTCAACAACATACACATGTATTATGCACAAATTTTTATCAATCATAAATTCTAATTCTATATGTTAAGTGTAAACTTCTATTGGGCATAAGTTTTTTTGTTCTTGTACTGTTGTCGTAACATATTGACCTATATATTGTTGACCCATATTATCTACTATTAATTTGTAGATCTACCTACATTAAGAAAATGGAATTATATTTATAATTTTTTCTAAATTTTAATGAATAAACAGTAACACATCCCCACGCTGTTAACTATTTGTTGGCCTAAATTCGTCCATATATTTTATATGTACTTGTCTGTATTAGTGGTAAATAAAATGCTAACGTAGATCATTTTCTAAATCAATTCAGAAATTGCAATACTGGACCTCTTACCTTGTTAGTGTTTTTTAAAAAAAAATTTTAAAAAATTGTCTCATTTGAATCAGCCAAAATAGTCTTTTTTTTTTTGAATAATAATAACATCCAAAAGAGTTAATGAATAAATATAATGTAAGATAAGTTTTTTTTTTCGTCGGCAACTCTCATTGTGTAAGGTAAGTTTAATACATTATATGACGCAAGTGATAGTCGGTGATTTGTCTATGTTTAAAAGACTTGTAGCCAAACAAATAGATTGTGTTCTTTTCAAACAAATTACCCAAAATCTTGCATGCAGATAACAAATTTGTACCTTTCTTTGGAAGCTCCTTCATAGTTAGCCGGCCGATCTATAAATTTATAATGTATGGATTAATTTTTTGTTTAAATATATAAATTTATTATGTATGAATTTAATTCTAGAAAATACAAAAATCTCGGAATAACGAATTTATTCAAATCTTTGATTAAAGTTGTTTTTTGATTTTGAATAGTTTTGAACTACTAACTAATTAAATAAAAGACTTCTCGCTAAAATTTCTTCTTAATATATTATATTCTGAATTTCTGATCATGTATAAGGTTAAAAGACATTGGACAGATATTGGTTTTGCTTATTTTATTAGGATTATTGAAGGGTATAATAGACTTTCCTACAACGTCCTTTGCTACTATAAATACTCTTCTACTACAATGGGTATATTTGCCTTGCTGATAACTTATTCTGTTTGAGACCAAAGTCCAGACAATGGAACTCAATTGTGTTCAGTTTCTTCAAAACAAGACGATTCTTGTCACCGGCGCTACCGGTTTCCTTGCCAAGGGTATGTCTTATAATTTTCTGTCTGATTTTTGTTAATTCCTCAAGATTTGTTTAGAGTGATTTCAAGATGGTATTGACATAGTATCATTTTTCGTCAAAAATATTGATTACTTTTGATGTTTCTTTCTTTTAAGAACAACCAAATATATTTTCAAGTACCTCATTAATACAACTATCCGATTATAATATAGTTTCATTGATATCTTTTAGTTTTTGTGGAGAAAATTCTGAGGGTACAACCAAATGTGAAGAAGCTGTACCTTTTGGTGAGAGCATCTGACAATGAAGCTGCGACTAAACGGTTACACATGGAGGTTTATATATATACCAAACTAAACCTAATTTACCACCTAATACTTTTCAGAATATATGTTTCATAATTATAATATTAGAGTGAGTTGAGAGTAATGTTGATTCATGATCTTATTTGTTGCATTAAATATAACAGGTGTTTGAGAAAGATCTCTTTAAGGTGCTGAGAGAGAATCTTGGCGATGAGAAATTAAATACTTTGTTGTACGAAAAAGTTGTCTCGGTCCCGGGTGATATAGCGACTGATCAATTAGGCATGAATGACTCTGATCTTAGAGAACGTATGCAAAAAGAAATAGATATTGTAGTCAATGTTGCTGCCACAACAAACTTTGACGAAAGGTACTAGCTACGAGACATTGATCGTATACCATATTTATATATATTTTTAATTCTATCTCTACAAAAATATATTTTTAATATATTCATATGAAAAAAAGATATGATGTTGGGCTTGGGATCAACACATTTGGAGCTCTCAACGTCCTTAACTTTGCCAAAAGCTGTGTTAAAGTTGAACTGCTTCTCCATGTCTCAACTGGTGAGTCTTTTTCTGATTAATTATTCGTCAAAAATTGTTTGCATATTCAAATTCTTTCACTCTCCATGTGGTTCTTGAAAGCTTTAGTCTTACTTGTTTTTTTTTTTTTCTCTAGCTTATGTTTGCGGAGAAAAGCCAGGTCTCATACCTGAAAAACCATTCATCATGGAAGATATTCGTAACGAGAATGGTCTTCAATTGGATATAAATCTTGAAAGGGAGCTTATGAAGCAAAGACTGAAAGAACTTAATGAACAAGATTGTTCCGAAGAAGACATTACTCTCTCCATGAAAGAACTCGGAATGGAAAGGTGAGTATTCTTAATGATTTTAATACCCCTATATGTTACTCATCAGAATATATGGAATGAAATAAAATTTGGTGTTATGTTAATGATTAGGGCAAAGCTTCATGGATGGCCAAACACATATGTTTTCACAAAATCAATGGGAGAAATGCTTCTTGGTAACCACAAAGAAAATCTTCCCCTCGTTATCATCCGTCCCACGATGATCACTAGCACTCTTTCGGAACCTTTTCCTGGTTGGATCGAAGGCTTAAGGTAAGTTTATTATGGATTAGGAATCTAAATATTGATTCTAAAAGTTGAAAGTAGCATTATATTAGTCCATACCATAAATCTATAAGTGATTGAATAACTCAAGATTTCTAACCAGTCTATTTAGTTTTTGTTTTTGATTCTTACTAATTACAATTATTCACATTAATAATATTTGTATGTAGAACTGTCGACAGCGTGATTATTGCATACGGAAAGGGAGTGCTCAAGTGTTTTCTTGTCGATGTAAACTCGGTCTGCGATATGGTAAATTATTAAACATGTTCCGATAAGAATTTCTAAAAATTATTTGCCTAATTTCTTATATGCATATTTATAAAAACTGAAGAATTAATGTTTATATACTCCAACTCCAAGTACACATGCTCAGTACATGCTAAACGACAGTCATGTTGACAGATACCAGTGGATATGGTGGCAAACGCAATGATCACGGCTGCAGCCAAACACGCTGGTTGTTCAGGGGTTCACATGGTGTATCATGTCGGCTCGTCTCATCAGAACCCAGTGACATTTGGAGAGATTCATGAGATTGCGGTTCGTTACTTCACAAAAAACCCTTTGCGCAGTCGCAATGGCTCGCTCATAACCGTCTCGAAAGTGAGGTTCATATCAACCATGGCTTTGTTCAGTCTCTACATGACCTTACGTTACAAACTACCTCTCCAGGTACTAACATGAACTTTGTATATTAAATTTGTACAATACGACGCTTGACCTTTTTTTCCTTCTAGTAGCTTACGTAGAAACTTAAAGCAAAACGTATCTAATATTACTTTATTACAAGTTTGTTTAATTTGTAGAATATACTGTCTATATAGTCTTGTGATTCCATATATGTATGTTATAAAAATACAGTACGTATACTTAAGCTAATTGTTTTTAAATATATCTTTTATGTATGTATCTAATTTTAAGAATATTATACCATTTGTACCATTCGTAATATATTCTGGTCAAATTTATTCTATCTAACAAAAAAAAAAGCTAAAAGTAATCTCATATATCCTTTTTTGTGGCGATAGTGTTTTGATCTGTATTGTTATTAATTCATCATTTTTGTTCAATCAGTTAATAAATGTTTTTTTCATAGATATTTTTTGTAATAGTATTTTGATCTTTTAGAACAAACACTAAATATTTTCTCATAGATTTTTTTCTTTTGTTAGTGTTTTGATATGTGTTGTTAATTCTTTCTTTTTCCTCAATCAGATGTTAAAATTGATTGATATAATATATCCTTGGAGAAACGGAGACAAATATGGAGACAAGAACCGCAAAATCGAGTTGGTGATGAGATTGGTAGAGCTTTATGAGCCGTATGTACTCTTTAAGGGAATGTACGTATTAACTTCAAATTTCGTTGTGAAATTTAAATCTCTATAATTTTAAATCAAAATTACAAATTTTAAATATAATATTTATATTCACACAATAACAATACTAATATCTTTCATTTTTTTGTCTCGCAGATTCGAAGATAGAAATACAAAGAGTTTATGCGCAAACCAGAAGGAAGAGGAGATCAAAAATACAGAAAAATTGATGTTTGATTTCGACCCAAAAGGCATTAATTGGGGAGATTATCTCACAAATATACACATTTCTGGTCTCGTCACACACGTGCTTAAAAAGTGAAATTTTATTGAATTTTGCATGTACGACAAACGTTATTATTTTAAAATAAAACATACTACCTCTTTTAAAATAATGGTCACCAAACCTTCAATATTAAGATTGTAACAAATTTACGATTTTTATTTTTATTTTTTTGAGAAAGGTTACATTTGTGAGTTTCTCTAAGTTTTAATGAATAAACAAAAACATTTCCCATAGCTTCTAAGAATGTTCACTTATTTGTCAATATATTTTCCTTCACATATGGTTATATGTACACTCTGTATACTAAAGTGGATGAAAAACAGGAATAAACTAGGGTTGATTCACATATGGTTATATGTACACTCTGTATACATCGCAGACGTCGCAGACACCGAGTGAACTTGTTGAACAGAGTGGAAGACGAGTTGGAACTGAAATGGAACAATCGAAAACAAGAGAAGGACATTGTTTTATGGAAAGGGAAGAATGATGTGTTTAAAAAAACTTTCTCTACCAAGGACACATGGAATCACACTCGGACTACTTCAAATAAGGTGGCATGGTACAAAGGAGTCTGGTTCGCTAAAGCCATACCAAAACAAGCTTTTTGCCTGTGGTTAGCTGCCCATAACCGGCTATCAACAGGGGACAGGATGAGTCACTGGAACAGAGGTGTGGATGCGACTTGTATCCTCTGTAATAATGCTCTGGAAACTCGAGACCATTTATTCTTCTCATGCGAGTTTGCTGCGGAAGTTTGGGAAGCTCTGGCGAAAAATCTCTTTAAGAATCGGTATACGACGGACTGGCACATAATCATGGAAGGGGTTTCAACTCAATGGCAGAATCGGGTTGAGGGTTATCTGGCCCGAAGCGTCTTTCATGTCTCGACATACACCATTTGGAGAGAAAGAAATGGAAGGAAACATGGCAAAGCACCGAACTCTACAAGCAGTCTAATCAAGTGGAGTGACAAGCATATAAGAAACCAGCTCTCGGCGATTAAAATCAGTGGTGATAGAAGATACGACTCAGGCATCCAAATGTGGTTTGCTTTGAGAGGCTCTTAGGCAGTTCCTTTAGCAAGCTCTTATTCATCTAACTTTCAAACAAATGTCGCACTTGTTGTAAAACCGTGATTTTTTTCTTGAATCTAATTTAACATTACATTAAAAAAAAAAAAAAAAAAAAAAAAAAAAAGAAAAACAGGAATAAATGTTTTTGGCAATAACAAAAATTATAACGGATTTGTTAACTATAATGCATCCAAATATTAGGCTTGGGACCTATTATCCGGGATCCGGGATCCGATCCGGGATCCGGGATCCGATCCGGGATCCGTTACTATCCGCTCCGGAAAATAGGATATCCGGGTGGTCCGGATCCGGATCCGGATAATGAAATTACAGATCCGGCCGGATCCGGATAATACATTTTTTTTGAACCGGATATCCGGGATCCGTTATATAACATATATGTCACTAGGCCTAACTTAATTTATGTATTATTTCAGACTTTAATTGTTAATTCTCTTAATGGGCCTAACACAATAAAGAAGGAAGCCTTATTCGATTAGTTGTTGACTTGTGTGTATAGGAAAATAGGGTTTTGGGAAATAGAAGACTCATTTCGCCGTCTCTTCTTCTTCTTCTTCTTTTTTTTTCTTTTCTTTTTAATCACCTTTTTTTCATTCTTGTACATAAATCCGGCGAATGCAACCACGCAAACCGCCGCCATCATTTCGAAGGCATCCCCAACGTTCTTCCCGCAGCCTCTCGGTGATGATTTTTTGTCTTTCATTCATTGTGGTTGATATCACTAGCTTCCGGTGATGATTTCTAGATCTGATTCCACCGAAGATGTTAGAGGAGAGAGTGTGAGTTTGAGGAAGCGAGAGAGACGGCGGCGGAATCGAAAAAGCGAAGGGGAAGTGGTGTGATTGTTCCGGTGAAAGGCAAAAACATAACCGGATCCGGATATCCGCGGGTATCCGGTTTTTTGCACGGATATCCGGGCTCCGGATATCCGCTGGTCACGGATCCGGATCCGGATAACATTTCCATAGATCCGGCGGATACGGATCCGGATCCGGATAGTCCAAAAAAAGCCGGATATCCGGATCCGTCTCAGGGCTACCAAATACTCCCTCTGTATTCGTTTTGTTGTCGTTCTACACATTTTTTCTTGTTAATTATTAGATGTCGTTTACACATCCCAATTCAACTTTTACCTAAAACTTCCTAAATTAACCTCAATTAATTGAGTCAAAAGAAAATCATTAACGTATTACCAAGACTGAATTACAAGTATGAATAGTCAAAACAATTAATTGGTCAACACAGCAAAAATCCCAGAGTCATCGATCTCTTCCTCCACCGCCGCAACATCAACGTAATCAGATGTATACGGAGCCTCCTCCGCCGATCCATCGCTCCCAACTTTTTCCTCGTTCCCTACTTTTCTCTTCGAAAGCACATCTTGGAGATTCGAAACAAGCGCGGCAGACAAACCACTGTTCTTCGAGGTCATCGTAGACAAAGAGAGAAGAAACGCAGATTGATTTGGGTTTGTGTTGAATAGTCGGAGCTCCGGTTTAACAATTCCGGCGACTTCAAAGATCCTTCTCTCTCTCTCTCACTCCTCAGCTCTTCGAGCTTCCCAAAAGTGAAAAAAAAGTGAGAAGATAAAGATTCAAAAAGAAGAAGAAGAAGAAGAAGAAGATAAAGTAAGAATCAAAACGAATCGAAAACAGATGACAAATCTATGGTCAACATTTTTTCTAGCTCTCTACGGAACCAAAGACAAAACTTTAATTTATGTCGGCAAAATAAAAAGTTAAAGGAGTAGTTGTTTAGTTGAGGTTAAATAAGACATTTTACACTTTTTCTTAATATGTGTGATTATAGTTAGAACGACAACAAAACGAATACAGAGGGAGTATATCTTTAGGACCAAACTGAATGATAGCTCTATTTTTTCATATTTATTAAAAAAAAGAAGTGATCCGAGTCACTTTTGGTTCCATTAAATTACACGAATGGGACCTTTGTATATATATTTTGGTTCTCCGTTCTCCGTTTTGTTGGGATAAACCAAACTTGTATTTTCATGTACGTACACGAGATATAACTACCCATATTAATATACCTAACCTATAGTTCGGTTCCACTCCCTCTACAGAGTACAGACCTTCTTTCCCTTTGTCCAACCCTAATTTCAAAATGGAATCCCTAAATCGATATCGTTTATTCTCTCCATCTATGTTGAGAAATCGATCGCATGTATACTGTTCACTACAAGAAAACAACCTAATTCCCAGGGACCAATCCCTCGGAACGTCCTCGGAAAGAGGGGTTTCGGACGGTTTCCCGACGGATTTTTGTCGTCGGTAAGTCGTGGTCGGAAATCAAGATCCGTCGAAAAGTCCTCAGAAATTTCCGACGGATTTCCGAGGAAACTTATTTCCGACGGAATTCCAAGGGTTAATTGTTTCCGACGGTATTCCGAGGGGGACAAATTCCCGTGGATGTTTCGATGGATAAATTCCTCAGAAAGTTTCCGACGGAATTCCGAGGACTGTCGTTTCCGATGGATGTGCGAGGATTGATTGTTTCCGACGGCCTTCCGAGGACTGTATGTTTCCGATGGAATTCCGACGATATTTTATTTCCCAGGAATTTGGGTCTGAGATATTTTAATACAATTTTTTTTTAGTTACTCCAATGATTAATTCTGTAATTAAATTTAGATAATAATCTAAAAAAAAAAACAATTCCAAAATTACTAAATTATCCAAAATAAACCACAAATATTTTACATAAACAGAAAATGTTAGTTGACAAAAAGAAAATGTTCAAAAAAAGAAAAGAACAAATCATGGTGGAGGGAACTGTCCGGGAAATTGAGACGCCAAGAACGTTTGAAGATTGGTGAGTGTCACTTGGGTCACGGCGAACTGTTCCTTAATCTCGACATTTTGTTGCTTCAATTCTTCGACCACCGCATCTTTTTCTTTAATGACACGGTTAAGATCTTCAACTTGTTGAACAAGTTCGTTGTCACGAGGAAATACCGAAGAGACACTCCCGTCCTTGGACACAAGGCTTCCTAAACCGGGTCGGCGGCCCTTGATTAAGGGAATCTCCTAAGTAATAATAAAAGAGAATAAATACATAGTAATTTGAAATAAATTAATCAAAAAACTAAAAAGTTATTCAAATATACCTCGATACACAATCGGTTGATTTCCTCGCGGGGTATATCGGTTGAAGACGTTGAGCCATCTTGGGATAGTTGCGTCTGCCGATCCACCTTTCGCAACTTAATCCTCTCGATCCGCTCTTCGATAACAAGGTCTTGAATCTGTCCGGTTTTCTTGCTAGTGTGGGTTTCTTCCATCACTTGTAGCCAATCCGGTTCAACTCCATTCTTGATAGCCTACATGAAAAGAAAAGATATTAATCTAAAAACATTAATAAGTAAGAAATCTGAAGTAATATTTAGAAATTTACCATCTTTCTTTCATGCCTTTTAAAGGACATTGAACCCGCATTGTGGGTTGCCATTCCCTTCCCACAACGTTGGCTCTTACGATTCTTCGAGTTTTGCGTGGAAGTAGCTTCTGTTTCCTCCATACTCCAATAGCGAATAAAACCTCTCCAAACTCCTTCCTCTAAATCCTTTGGCTTTTCCTTGCCATTCTTCCACTTTTGCTTCCACGAGTACATGTGATTTCCATAGGATCTGTTGACTTGAATGTCAAAATCGAGACGCACTCTCTTACTAAGACCGGGTTCCCAATTGAAATCTTGCTACATGTGAAAAGAAATTCAATTATAGTTAATCTATCAATCAATTATAGTGTGAGGTTTCTTCGTTGATGCTCTGTGCAACAATAGAACCTTCGACTCTTGCCAAATTTTTTACTTTCTTCTTTAGAGTACCCATGTAACGCTCGAAAGGATACATCCATCGATATTGAACGGGGCCGCCAAGTGCTAATTCTCGTGGGAGATGAATTGGAATATGTTCCATAACATCAAAGAAAGACGGTGGAAAAATCTTCTCAAGGTTACATAGGATGACCGGTATATTTTGTTCTAATCTTTGTATTCCTTCTACCGTAAGTGTTCTTGTGCATAAATCTCGAAAGAACGCACTGATACCTATGTATGAAAAAATGTTAAGATATAAACAAACATATAGTAAGTAAAAAGTTATTTAAATTGTGTAATAATGTACCTGCAATTGCTTTGTGAACGTTATCTGGTAGAAGATGCTCAAATGCAAATGGAAGGAGGCGTTGCATAATGACATGACAATCGTGGCTTTTCATTCCTTGAAACTTCCCTTCTCCAATGTTAACGCAGTTACGGAGATTAGATGCATAGCCATCCGGAAATTTGACATGCATCATAATCCATTCTAAGAAAGCTTCCTTGGAAGCTGCATCTAATCGGAATCGAGGGGTCGGTGCTTTCCCATTTGCAGTGACATGAAGCTTTCTTCGAGAACAAATATCAGGCAAGTCCAATCTAGACTTCAAATTATCTTTTGTCTTCCCTTGAACATTAAGTACAGTGTGCATGATATTATCAAAAAAGTTCTTCTCCGTATGCATGACATCTAGATTGTGCCTCAACAAAAGATCCTTCCAATATGGCAATGCCCAGAAAATACTCATCTTGTGCCAGTTATGATGATCGCCATATCCATCAACAATATCGTGCCCAGCACCACCACAAACCGTTGTCTTCTCAGCACCAAAATCTCTTAACTGAGTCAATATGTCCTCGCCAGAATACTCAGGAGGTGGCCCGTCAAAGACTTGTCTGTTCTTTTTAAATAATGTGGTGCTCCAACGATAAGGATGGTCTTCTGGGAGCCATCTTCTGTGACAATCAAACCAACACGTCTTCCGTCCGTGTTTCAGCTGAAACGCGTTGGTGTTATCTTGACAATGCGGACAAGATAACCGTCCGTGCGTTGTCCACCCAGACAACATACCATAGGCTGGAAAATCGCTTATAGTCCACATTAGCACCGCTCGCATGTTGAAATTTTGGTGGGTTGAAACATCGAACGCTTCTACACCATGTTCCCATAACATTTGTAACTCATATATCAGTGGCTGCAGAAACACATCAAGTGCTTTCTTAGGATGATCTGGACCAGGAACAAGAATGGTGAGAAAAAGAAACTCTCGTTTCATACACAAAGATGGCGGCAAATTATAAGGTGTCACGATAACTGGCCACAATGAATATTGCCTCCCATGCTTCCCAAAAGGATTAAAACCATCTGTCGACAAACCCAGATAAACGTTTCTTGACTCACTTGCAAAGTCGGGATACACTGATTGAAAATGTTTCCATGCTTCTGCATCCGACGGGTGCGCAATTACACCGTCTGACCTATGTTCTGCATGCCATTTCATTGATCCCGCTGTACGCTCTGACTGATACAACCTCTTCAACCTCTCTGCTAACGGTAAATACCACATCCGTTTATATGGTATGGGAACTCTTCCACTAGTGTCCTGATACCGAGGTTTACGACAGAAACGACATGAAGTGCGACCTTCGTCTTCTCTCCAATAAATCATACAATTATCACTGCACACGTCTATCACTTGATATGGCAAGCCAAGCCCAGCTACAAGTTTCTGCACCTCATAGTACGAAGCTGGTGAAAGATTATCTTCGGGCAAAATTTCTTTCACAAAATCAGTAATCGCATCCACACAACCCTCAGCCAAATTCCAATCCGTCTTTATGCCCATCAACCTAGTTGCAGCTGATAATGGTGAATGACCCTTCTTACAACCATCGTACAAAGACATATTAGCTGCATCTAACATATCAAAAAATCTCCTAGCTTCTATATTCGGTTCCTCTACTCTATCTTCATCCTGAGCGAAAGACGGTGCATTTTCCCTAAACGCATCATTCACCATCTGAAATGTACCTACGTCTACTTCCGTTGGTGGTTCCTCTACACTATCCGAAAGATAATGTTGACTAGTACTACCATAATCTAGCATTGACTCACTCTCTCCATGCGAATACCATATCTTATAACCCGGCATAAATCCATTCTTAAACAAGTGCTTCTTTACTAAAGCTACCTCGAGATTTCTATAATTCCGACAATTTGGACAAGGACATAACATAATACCTGTTTGTAGCGTTATGTCCTGGTTTGATGCGAATAACATGAATTGCCTAAGACCTTCTTTGAACTCTTCTGTAAGTTTGCCTGTCTCAGGATTGTATCTCGGTTTATCCATCCATGAACGAAAATAATCATAAGGATATGGAGAAGACATTTTTGTTGGTATTGTTTATAGTTTTGTTTTGATTTCTACACATGTAAACTCGTTGGAATATATAAGCAAAATTTCCGAGGGATTTCCCAGGGATTTCCGAGGATTTTTAAATTACAACGGCTGCTCCAACGGATACATTAACAGCGACGTTCTAACGGCTATATTCTCCGAGTGTCCTTGAAAATCTCTCAGAAAACAACGGTCATAAAGTCCTCGGAAAGTCCTCGGAAATTGAAAACTTTCTGAGGCATTTCCGACGGACGTAAATTCTTTGGAATTTTCCGTCCGCTTTCCGAGGAACTAGTTTGTTCTCGAAAATCACTCGAAATTCCGTCGGAAAAAGACATAATTTCCGACGAATTTCCGACGACCGTATTTTCCTCTGAAATATCCGTTTGAATTCCGAGAAATTGTTTTGTTCTCGCAAATCGCTCTGAAATCCGTCGGAAATTTCCGATGGATTTATTTCCGTCTGAAATTCCGTCGGAATTGGCGTTGCTTTCTTGTAGTGGTTGTCTCATTCTTCCTATTTGATTGTAATGTTTAATTGTATCTTGTTCTTCATATGTGTTAGTTCTCACTTCGAACTATATCTCTGTCTTGTTCTACGATTTTTTTAGTTCTAACTTTGATCTTAATATCTGTTGATTTGTTTTTTGTTTTGATTATCTTTTTTTCTGTACACTTCGTCTCTGTTGATTTAGTTATAAGTTTGTTCTTCGTCCCTAAATCGATATCGTTTATTTTTTATGTCCAATTTTTTTTTCCTACATATATTGTGATTCAAGATTTTAAAAACGGACATATATTACTCAATTAATAAAAAAGAGTGCTCAATGTCGTACATCGGCTATAATGATTCATAGTCATATTATAAATAGGATAAAAATAAATTGAAATAGGAATGAGCGGAAAGCTTAACTTAACAAGCATCCAAATCTAAAAATTTGTATACGATTCAATTCAGTTTTTAGTTAAAATGTTTCATTTACCGGTTATAGTAAATTTAAATTTTTAAAATGTTTTAAACATTGATATATTAAAAAAAAAAGTTTATAATATTATGAATCTATAAACATATAAGAAAATTAATATAACACGGGAAGGTTTATATTGCGGGACGGAGTTATATGACGGGACGAGTTTGAATCAACATAATAAATATTTAAAATTTCATTAACCCGCCGCCTTCATATGGAATAAATCTTCATTTTATTATTTTTTACATCACCAATATTAAACATATCGAATCAGCCTGATTTAGTTAAGATTGTATAAACTAAAAATTATCCCTCATCAGTATATTGTTACTTATTGACAATTGTAAACTATAAAATATAAATGTCTTAAAAATAATACAATTTGCAACTTTTCTATATAATACATAATCTTAAAATTTCAAAAATCAGAAAATTTAGAAAAATCATCCCAGGGTGTACTGCGGATCAATCCCTACTTTATTTTTAAAAAGAAAACAAAAAGTTATTGGTGTTGTGCTGGAAATTTTTTAATATAGGATCCTTTAAACTCAAATATATGAATTCGTAAATCATAGATTTTTTTTCTTTTTCTTTTTCTTCTATTTTTCATCCGTTGTTCGTTTTTCTGGTGTGTTAGATTCCATTCAAATACATAGTAGACCTAACCTGTAATATCAATTATCCAAATTGCTTGTGGTTTGATTATTTTTCTAAGCAGTTTAAAAGAAAGATTGGTGGGACTGTATTTTTATGATATAAATCCAAAAATTCTTAAAGCTCCAATATTGAACCAATCAAGCTTTAGCTCTTCTAAAAAATCTCACAACCCAAAAATTTTTTTTTAGCCTTTTGTATAATCAATACAATAATAACAATAGGATTCTCTCCTAATCCGACACATCAGCATTTTCAGCTTTCCTGGTTATGACACATCATTAAAAACAAACTCCAATCAAAACATTTTAAATAATACAGCTCAACTTTATTTGCCAATAATAATCTTCTATTCTGCCACGTCACTCTTTCTCTCCCCTTTTTCGGTTGTTTCATAATTCATATTATTAAAAACACACAAAAACAAAAAAAAAGTAACAAAGCCCAAAAGTATGACAAAAAAAATAAAATAACAAAGCCCAAAAGTATAAGCCCACTCGATAAAGTAGTGTTGAAAACATGGAGAGACTAATTAAAATTGACAAAACACGGCTGTCTCTTCTTCTTCGTCATCATCTTCCTCTCGATCGGAAAAAAAATAAAAGTTTCTATAAATCTGTTGAATCAAGCAGAGAAGAAGAAGAAAAAGAGATCATGAATCCATAATCTGATTATCCTCATCTCCCTAACATCAAGATCCACCATCCTTCATCTCCTCGTCACTCTCAGCACCACTCTTCCTCCACTCCTTCAGCCGCTACTCCTACCCCAACCGCCGGTGCTCGCCGTTTACCTCTTTAAAGAAAGTGCCTTCGCTGTTTGCTTTGAAAACGTGGAGAGACGAAGATTATTTTTTTTGTTTTGCCTTCGCCAACAAGGTTTGTTGTCGAATCGATTTGCCATTGGAAGGAGCTCTAATAACCACCGTAAACTACCGGAAAAATCACCGACAGAATTTGTTATTGATTAAGATTTAAAGAGTACTGGGAGTACCATCTTGTTTTCCAAACATGATTCAAATAGTGTCCTTCCCTTTTACCAAAAAAAAAAAAATAGTGTCCTTCCCCAACATTGTTTTTTGCTTTCATTACCATCTAGATCTTTCTTTCCTTGTCATTGTTGGTAGTGTTGTAGGCATTTCATCGACAGGGAGTTATGGTAGGCTTATACAACTTATTTTAGTTATGGAAGTTTTGAATTGGTAGTACTTATTGTTCAGACTCGTGTAAAGAAGACTTCAAAAGTACACAGTTGCTCGAAATCAATCATTTAATTAGCAAATAACAGCTGCGTACTTTATATATTGGAGTGCTACCTATACTTTATCAGTGTTTGCAGTCGTTTAATGGAAAATATGGTTGTTAAAATATTTCATGTGGACAGAGATATAGATTAATGATTCTAGAATTATTAATGTTTTATTTACTTACACTTCAGGTTTCCCGTGTATTTCACTTTGCCTAAATGTCATAATTTAGGTCTGGAACTATTGTTGTCCACCCCAAAGTTTGAATGCATGTATTGTGACTGGTGAGACCAAAGATGATCTTTACGTAATATATTCTATTGGTCTTAGGAATAGTTAAATCAATCAAGTATCAAGCGTGTAATGCATATTGAATCTCTTGAGATGGTTGGACAATTGTATAATATTAATACATCCACAATTGTATTTGTATCTATCTAAAGTATGAAGGAGAGATTGTGCAAGTACCATGGGATCTACCAAAAACTTGTCGGAATTTCTCATCTACCTCTGCTTATACACTTCTTCGTACATATATATACACTATCGTTCGTTTGGTCAATTTAGTTAATGTTGATTAAAGATGAAGGTGGAGCAATTTTCTAAAGATGTTGAAGTTAATGAATCCAAGGCCGGTAGACGAATAGAAGAAGAATTTTGTGCATTGATTTCTTAAGTAATGTGTCACGGTCACCTTCTCATATCTGTGTATTAATTTGTTTTATTTGATTTGAACTTCAAAATAAAGTTTTTAAATGAGATGAAGTGGTGAAAATGATCTGTCAACCATCAAATTCTAAAATTTTATTTAAGTTTTACAAATCATTTTTATATTAAATTCAAGTTTCATATTTGTTTATTTTTTAAATTCAAGTTTGGATACTCTTTTGTTTGTATTACAAACGAAGGAAGACAACTTTCTTTGTCTAAACAAAAAAATACAAATTTCATTGTGAACTTTGTACTACATAATCTTAGTTTAAGCAAAAGTCATTAGTAACAAAAATAATTTATAAAAGATATCCCGCAGCGGAGCGCGGGTTTTTACCCTAGTTCTTATAATTTCTACATCACTTTTTTTTTTATGCTTTGAAAGATGTAGACATTATTTTTTCTCTATGCTTGAATTTTCTTTTATTTTATTTTCCTATATAACATTTTTTTTTTACGTCTAGATTTAATATTTATTGCAAATTATGAGAACTGTTACATAGACGATTTTACAACGGACAATTCTTTCCGACCCTTATTAGATCCACGGCAGACCACAATTTCTTCTCCATGCTCTTGACGGACACCTTCAATGATCCACGACCTGACGACACTTCTCTCTCTACGTAGAATCCTGACGACACTTCTCTCTCTGCGTAGAATCCTGGCGAACGGCTATAATTGTACATCGCTGGAGATCTCCTGCACACTTACCTCCTTTAGTCTGCAAATTTATTCATAAATCGCAAATGCTGGGACTCGAATCCCAGACCTCTTGGTGTAGAAGCATTAATTAACCCTTGGTCAACCAATGGACCAAGGGGGCTTCCACAAAAACATTAACATATCAATTCTGCTTTGGACTCTAGCCAAATAATAGCTGTGAGGCTTTTATTTTTGGTGTGTTTTTGGCTTATGGCTCTGAATGGTCGTTGTTTTCATTTTTTTAAATTGTCGTTATAGTGATCCCAAATTTAGAGTGGGGACTGGTCCGATCGGGACATCCGGTATAACACCCGTGTTTTTCTGGCTCATATCCAAAAAATCATTGGACTTTATTTATAATTCGTATTCACTTTAATACAAAACTATAATTTACCCCCCGACACATTGTGGATCGATTTTTTTTAACTAAAAATTTAAAATTTAAGTTGTACTATTTGTTTTTTTAATATTGTTTGATTTGTTTAGTGTTTAAAATAAAATAAAAAATTGATAATTGTATTTTGATTGTCAATTCTAAGATTTCACCCATGGTATACGGTTCCGTATTAATATCGACTCAAACCCGTCCAACCATATAACCCCGTCCCGTAAAATTATATATTATTTTGGTATTTTCTTTTAATAATACTTTTATTTAAAAGATATATAATTCAAGTCAATTTAAAATTTTTCTTTTAAATAGTTTCCATGATATATATATATATATATATATATATATATATATATATATATATATGAACTTACTATCTATTATATGTTTTATCTGTTATCCTATATAATTTATTGTAAATATTTCAAATGCATATACATAAAATTTAGATTTATAATATTGAATTAATTTTACCAATCATGCTTTAATATTAAAATACTTACAAAGAAAAAACTTAGAACTACATCTAACAAAGATACAACAAAAATACTATAATTACAGTCCAACCAATCACCATTTTTCGCTTATTATTGTAACAAACAAAATTATAGTAGTGTATGACGTTCGAAGCCTAAAAAAAAAAATAAGTTCGAAGGCTAAAGTGATATTTAAACAACCGCTTAAGCTATTTAAGAAAAAAAACATTAACATTACATATTAAAATGAGCCAACAATAACATTATAAGAGAATAATACATACTTAAAAATATATACATCATTACGTTTGCAGTACAATAAATACTGTCTTGTTTTATTGGTGATACATTTGAAAATCAAGAAAATTTGCATGTGATTTATTTTTTAAGCACATGAGTGATGAGGCCAGGAATGTGTACATTTATAAGATAATTTCTCCAGTTAATGACTTTAGGATCGAAATCAAACATCAAAGTTTCTGAATTTTTGCTCTCCTCTTCTTTCTTGTTGGTGCATAAGTTTTTAGTATTTCTATCGTCGAATCTGGAAAAAAAATGATATTATGTAAAATATTTAAACGATTTTTGTACCAAAAAAGAAGATATTCTTTCACAATAGAAATATAATATTTTGGAGTTAATACGTACATGCCCTTGAAGAGTACGTAAGGCTCGTAAAGCTTTACCAATCTCATCACCGAATCGATTTTGCGGTTCTTGTTTTTGTATTTGTCTCCTTTCCTCCAAGGATATATTATATCAACCAATTTTAATAACTGATAGAGGAAAATGAAAGAATTAACAATACACTATTACCAAAGAGTATCTATGAAAATATATTTAGTTTTCTTTGTTAAAAAGTAATTAAAAGTTTGATCAGAAGTAGCTTAAATATAAAAAATAATTTAACTAAAAATCCTCTTATTCCTATAAATACCTGGAGAGGTAGTTTGTAACGTAGGGTCATGTAGAGACTGAACAAAGCCATAGTTGGTATTAGCTTCATTTTTGTGACGGTTATCAAAGAGCCATTGCGACTGCGCAAAGAGTTTTTGGTGAAGAAACAAAACAAAATTAAATCTCACGGATCTCTCCATATGTTATTGGGTTTTGGTGAGATGAACCAACTTGGTACACCATGTGAACATTTGAACCTCCAGCATGTGTGGCCGCAGCTGTGATCATCGCGTTTGCCACCATATCCGCTGGTATCTTTTTTTTTCCATATCATATCCAATAAAAAAAATTAGGATATAGATCTAGCTATAATAGTTTGAGTTTTATTTAATTTTAGTTCATATGTTTTTAAACTAAATAATAAACTCTTAAGAAATGCGGATGAGAAATACATATTTTAAAATATGTCCATGATTTTTAGTTAATTAAAACAAAAAATATTTAAATAGAAGGGCTGAGAAAAAAAAACCGAAAAAAAAAACCAGAAAAGCCCCGAAAACATGATCGAAATTAATATTAAATTTGTGAGTTTCCATTTCAAAGCTAATTCGTGATAAATTTATCGACTTATGTCTAATATATTATATATATTACTTTAGATTCATTTGAAAGATGTGGGTTTACAACATTTTTTTTCCTTGTGCAAAGAGTGGATTTACAACATTTAGGATCGTTAAATTGGATCACGTCAACTTACCATATCGCAAACCGAGTTTACATCGACAAGAAAACACTTGAGCACTCCTTTTCCGTACGCAATAATAACGCTGTCTACAGTTCTAGATACAAATATCATTGTGTGAGACCAATTGTAACCATTAACCAAAAAAAAAAATCTATATAGGTTGATTAGAAATATTGAGTTATTCAATCATAAATAAAAGTTCTATCTTGGACTAGCGACATGTTATGTTTAACGTTTTGAATAAAAACTAAAAATGCTAACCGATGATAAATTTACCTTAATCCTTCTATCCAACCAGGAAATGGTTCTGAAAGAGTGCTAGTGATCATGGTGGGACGGATAATGACGAGAGGAAGATTTTCTTTATGGTTACCAAGAAGCATCTCTCCCATCGATTTGGTGAAAACATATGTGTTTGGCCATCCATGAAGCTTTGCTCTAATCATTAACATAATACACAATTATATTTCATTCCATTTCAATGAGTAAATAGATATATAAGTCATCAACAACACTCACCTTTCCATGCCGAGTTCTTTCATGGAGAGAGTAATGTCTTCTTCGGAACAATCTTGTTCATTGAGTTCTTTCAATCGTTGCTTCATAAGCTTCCTTTCAAGGTTTATATCCAATTGAAGACCATTCTCGCTACGAATCTCTTCCATGACGAATGGTTTTTCAGGTAGGAGACCTGGTTTCTCTCCCCAAACATAAGCTTGATAAAAAGATAGAAGTAAGATTACATGTTTCAAAAACCATATCATCAATATAAACAGTGAAATAATTTAAATACAAACAAATTTATTGAAATTTCGATAAATTTTTAAACATTACATATTAAATACTAGTTGTTCCGATTTCAATTTGAGTTAGTTAAATGAATTAACAAATATTGATAGCATAATTTCATAATACTACGTTTTAATTAATTCTAATGCAAATATATAATTCCTTTAAAAACAAAAAGAAATGAAAAAAATATATAAACTAGGAAAGAATTGAAATACAATTCCTTTTGGAGGAATAGCTAGAAAAAGACTCACCAGTTGAAACATGGAGAAGCAATTGAGCTTTAACACATTTTTTGGCAAAGTTAAGGACATTGAGAGCTCCAAATGTGTTAATTCCAAGACCAACATCATATCTTTTTTCACATGTATAAATTAGATTTATATTTTATTAGAGATAAAATAAAAAGAAAACAGAAATGTTTTATTCAAATGTATTGTAGCCAGTACCTCTCGTCGAAGTTAGTTGTGGCTGCGACATTGACAACAATATCGATTTCTTTTTGTATACGTTCTCTGAGTTGAGAGTCCTTCATGCCTAAATGATCCATCGCGATATCACCAGCCACCGGGACAACTTTTTCGGACAACAATACATTCAATTTCTCATCGCCAAGATTCTCTCTTAACACCTTAAAAAGATCTTTCTCAAATGCCTGTCATATGTATATATTTCAGCTAATCAGATGAACAAATCTAATTGTATATTCATGAATATACTTCAGCAAAACGAATATTATATTAGATAGTACATAAAAAGGTTTGTTGGTATATAAACAAACCTCTGTGCGTAAGCGTTTCTTCGCGGCTTCATTGTCGGATGCTCTCACCACGAGGTACAGCTTATTCACATTTGGTTGTACTCTCAAAATTTTCTCCACAAAAACTAAAATATTATTAATGAAAATTAAGTATTATCCGATTGGTTGTATCACTAGTGAAATAATCCATTTCATATTCTAGTGAAATTTTCATTTTCTTTTCCTAAAGACCATCACGAAAACTCGAACAAGCTAGAACTCTAAGAACATGTGGACGTAAGTTAATTAGGGGTTAACCAAAAGGACCTACCCTTTGCAAGGAAACCGGTTGCGCCGGTCACAAGAATCGTCTTGTTTTGAAGAAAATGAACACAGTTGAATTGCATTGTTTGGACTGTGGTCTAACTGTGAGGAAATGATTTTTGTGTTTTGGGGGTTACCAACTAAGAAGAAATGAGTAATAAGTATATGTGGCAAAGAAACCTATAGAAGTGGGAGGGTTTTTATAGTTGTAAATGACGTAGTACGAAAGTCTATAATACCCTCCAATAATCCTAATATTAGTAAAATAAGCAAAACGAATACAGTATTTGTTTTTGTCCAATGAGGCATTAATCTTCTACAAGGTTTTGATCCGCACTGACAACACAAAATCATGTCTTTATAAGAAATAAAAAATTTTAATTAACTATTTGATCTAAAAAAGCTGGTAATGTAAAGGTTATATTATGTTAATGTGTGATATATATTTGGTATATAGGAGCATGTGTTAGTCTAATACTGATATCTTTTCAATGTGTAATTCGCTTACGAAGAATAATAGGTTGGAAAAACGAATATATATTAATAATACGTACGAATACGATTAAAGTGTAGTACTATATGTTACTATAAGTTAAAGAATAAATATATATATATATATATATATATATATATATATACTACTATAAGTTAAAGAATAAATATATATATATATATATATATATATATATCTATACTAGTATTTTTGCAACACTTTGGTGACGGGTGGGTAAAAATGCTTTCGGATATATCGGATACCCGACCCGTTTTTAAATTTTGGTCATAAAAAAATTATTGGGTCGGGTTATATTTAACCCAACTCATACACCGGATATTCCATATTTAATAATTTAGATATTTATATGATTTGATTAAGATTTAGAATTATGATTCTCCTATCATCTTTGTTTGATTTGTTTTTAACTGTTTTGAATCATCATATAATATATAAAGTAAAAAAAAATCATTATTTTTTCTGCATATACTATGATTCGAAATTTTAAAAACGGACATATCTTATCCAATTGACGAAAATGTGTGTTCAACGTTTTACATCGATTAAAATATTTAGATAATGATTCGGAATCATATCATAAATAAGATCAACATTAATAAAATAAATGAGTTTTTTGGCCGGACGGGTTTGACGGGACGGGTTTTTGAATCAACATTAATAAAAAAATTAAAATATCATTAATCCGCCGCTTCAATACGGATTAAATCTTTAATTTGTTTTTAATACCACCAATATTAGACATATCAAATCAAACTCATTTAGAAAAGATTGTATAAAATAAAAAATTGTCCCGTGGTATAATGTTACTTAATAACAATTGTAAACTATAAAATATAAATATCTTAGAAAATGATAAAATTTGCAAACTTTTATATATAATAAATAATCGTTAAATTTTAAAAATTACTACTTTTATAAAACAAATCACGGGACGGGTTAAGAAGTTACATGACGGATTATATTTCGGAACGAAGTTATATGGTGGACGAGTTTGAATCAATATTTATGAAATTTTAAAATATCATTAACATGCCGCTTTAATACAGATTAAATCTTGAGTTTATTAAAATATAAATGTCTTAGAGATTGATATGATTTGTAAACTTTTATATATAATATATAGGGAGACTCACAAAAATGCCCCTTTTTCAATACCCCTTTTCAAAAATGCCCCATTTGGCTGTCCATTTTTAAAAATACCCCTTTTTATGTACAAAATGACTAAATTACCCTTCTTTTAATAAAAGATATCACAAATATATAAGGAAATATAACAAAATTAGGTCCACAAAATACAAAATATTTTTTGGCGGGAAAAGTGATCCCGCAATTTTTCCCGCCAAAACACTTGTAAAAACTTGTAAAACCTTTAAAATACGTTGTAAAATTTTCCCGTCAAAAAAATTTTTTTGCGGGAAAAGTAATTCCGCAATTTTTTTGGCGTTAAATTTTTGGCGGGAAAATTTTTGGCGGGAAAAATTTACAAGGTATTTTAAAGGTTTTTTACAGGGTATTTATAAGGTTTTACAATATATTTTTAAAGGTTTTACAACGTATTTATAAGGTATTTATAAGATATTATAAGATTTTACAAGCTATTTTATAAGGTTTTACAAGTTATAAGGTTTTACAAGTTTTTTATAAGGTTTTACAAGTTATAAATACCTTATAAAACCTTATAAGTACCTTGTAAAACCTTTTAAAATACATTGTAAAACCTTACAAAACACTTGTAAATACTCTGTAAAACCTTTAAAATACCTTGTAAATTTTTTCCGCCAAAACTTTTCCCGCCAAAAACATTTCGCCAAAAAATTTGCGGAATCACTTTTCCCGCAAAAAAAATTTTTTGGCGGGAAAAATTTTTACGGGAAATTTTGACAAGGTATTTTAAAGGTTTTTACAAGTGTTTTGGCGGGAAAATTGAGGGATCACTTTTCCCGCCAAAAAATATTTTGTATTTTGTGGACCTAATTATGTTTCAAATAAGGGTAAAATGGTCATTAAAAATTAAAAGAGGGCAAACTTAAAAATGGACTCTCAAAGGGGGCATTTTTGAAAAGGGGTATTGAAAAAGGGGCATTTTTAACAATTTCTCTAATATATAACCATTAAATTTAAAATAAAAACAAATCACGGAACGGGTTAAAAAATTACAGAACGGCTTATATTTCAAAACGGGTTTATATGGCGGACGAATTTGAATTTATATTTATAAATATCATTAACATGTCGTTTTAATACGGGTTAAATCCTTAATTTATTAATAATTATCTCGTGGACTCGTGATATACCGTTACTTAATAACAATTGTAAACTATAATATAAATAAATATTTTATAAGGAGATACAATTTACAAAATATTTTAATACTAACTTTAAAAATAAATCATCCCGCGGTACACCGCGGGTTAAAATCTAGTATACTAAATACATATATAAAATAATAATCTCAATTAGTTCGTATTATAATATTTGAACGTATACCATAATTAGTAAAAGACTTGTCACTTATGATATACACATCGAATATTTTCAATAAGATTCGGCAAAGTGGGATTAATTAGTGCATTCAACTGTTCTACTATACAGAAAATAAAATAGATTATATAGAGGATAGGTTGGACCGTTGGAGCTTTCTCTGATTAAGAATAGTTAAAAATTGAATCAATTGATTTTAAAATTGCACCTTATAAAGTTTTTTGTTCTTATTGATACCAACTTTCAAACGAAGATTAGGAATTTAGAGAACTAGTTTATGGTCAAAGGAATTTTTCATTCGGTCGAAACTTATAGAATGAAGAAAACTATCTCAAATGGAATATGATGGATTATTTCAAGATTAATGGCTAAGTTTTTTTAAGGTATTATAGATCAAAAAACATGGGAACAAACTTAACTTATATATAATAAACATGGAAATATCTACTCAATACCAATTGATTTTGAATGAAAAGCCCATAAAACTTAGGGATACAATACAAGTTGAATATATGCAAAAACAAATATCTGTAAATTCGTTCTCAAATACATATAGATTTAGAAAATGGTTTCCTATCACAAAGTTGTGCGTAGTAATCTATCGACTGCAAATGTAATTACGATCAAGGTTCTTATTCATCTATCTTAACTTCCTGAGGATATATTCAGATTTCTTATCTCCTTGTTTTACTCAATCAGTAGTTGCAAATTATCTCATCAAATGAAATCTCTAGGTCCTTAAATAGTCAAATAGGTAAATGTTTGCTTGAATCTAGACAGAGTTTGTATTTTATTGCAGGGCCAGCTCCACCTATGTGCGGGGGTGCTCATGCACAGGGTCCAAAAAATTTTTGTTATTTTTTTTTTAACTAAATTTATAAAACTTTGGGTCCAAAATATATATTTTATATATAAATACATAGGAAATTAGGGCCAATTATTCTTTTCAACTCAGGTTCTTAATGTTTTTGAGCCGGCCCTGTTTTATTGATATGAGGTATACTCGGCTATTAGATCAAGCTTTGTAATTTCATTATTTGGAGGAAAACTCTTTTATACGCGTGATATCCCTATTTCCTGAGTATCGTTGGGTTTGATTGTTATTGTGTGTTAGTATTTTTTTCGTATATAACACTTTGCAATAATTTATATAAATTTATGTAACGTCCCGTCCGCTATTTCTAATGGGTCCCATGTTATCTTTCGGCATGTGGATGCATTCTTGCCCAAAATCTGCTCCTCTGTCGCCTTCCGACTGGTCGGTCTAGGAGAGGACCGATCGATTCAATGGACTATGTCCCAAATTTTCACTTTCGACGGATCTGTCTAACTGACTCTGCCCACTTAATCAGCTTCGCACCAATAGGTTTAGGAGAGGTCTAAACGATCGAGGTGGGGAGTGAATGGTCTAACCGACTCTAGCTGCGAGATCAATTTTTCGCCTATTTTTGACTCAAACAAGTCCGAAATCAGTGGCGGAGCTAGGACTTGTATTTACGAGGGTCAAAATGTAAAAAAAAAAAAAAAAAAATCATAGGGGTCAATTTATCTTTTTATGGGTATTAATTTAAAAATTTTAGCCAAAAACTAACCAGATTTCCAAATTTAATAGGTGTCATATGACCCCTATGATGCTCAACTACCTCCACCCCTGTCCGACACTATCTAATCTCGCCACAAGCACCTAAAACATGTACAAAACTTAAGACACTGCCAAAGAAAGACAAAAAAATGAATTTTGATACTACAAACGACTCAAAAACAAGATTTAAATATGTGATAGAAAACACCAAAACGAATCATATCAATTCTGCTTTGGACTCTAGCCAAAGTAATAGCTGTGAGGCTTTCTTTTTTTGGTGTGTTTTTTGACTTATGGCTCTGAATGGTCGTTATTTTCATGTTTTTTGAATTGTCGTTATAGTGATCCCAAATTTAGAGTGGGGACTGGTCCGATCGGGACATCCGGTATAACACCCGTGTTTTTCTGGCTCATGTCCAAAACATCATTGGACTTTATTTATAATTCGTATTCACTTTAATACAAAACTATAATTTACCCCCCGACACATTGTGGATCGATTTTTTTTAACTAAAAATTTAAAATTTAAGTTGTACTATTTGTTTTTTTAATATTGTTTGATTTGTTTAGTGTTTAAAATAAAATAAAAAATTGATAATTGTATTTTGATTGTCAATTCTAAGATTTCACCCATGGTATACGGTTCCGTATTAATATCGATCCAAACCCGTCCAACCATATAACCCCGTCCCGTAAAATTATATATTATTTTGGTATTTTCTTTTAATAATACTTTTATTTAAAAGATATATAATTCAAGTCAATTTAAAAGTTTGCTTTTAAATAGTTTCCATGATATATATATATATATATGAACTTACTATCTATTATATGTTTTATCTGTTATCGTATATAATTTATTGTAAATATTTCAAATGCATATACATAAAATTTAGATTTATAATATTGAATTAATTTTACCAATCATGCTTTAATATTAAAATACTTACAAAGAAAAAACTTAGAACTACATTTAACAAAGATACAACAAAAATTATATAATTACAGTCCAACCAATCACCATTTTTCGCTTATTATTGTAACAAACAAAATTATAGTAGTGTATGACGTTCGCAGCCTAAAAAAAAATAAGTTCGAAGGCTAAAGTGATATTTAAACAACCGCTTAAGCTATTTGTTAAAAAAAACATTACCATTACATATTTAAATGAGCCAACAATAACATTATAAATACATCGTTACGTTTGCAGTACAATAAATACTGTCTTGTTTTATTGGTGATACATTTGAAAATCAAGAAAATTTGAATGTGGTTTATTTTTTAAGCACATGAGTGATGAGGCCAGGAATGTGTACATTTATAAGATAATTTCTCCAGTTAATGACTTTAGGATAGAAATCAAACATCAAAGTTTCTGAATTTTTGCTCTCCTCTTCTTTCTTGTTGGTGCATAAGTTTTTAGTATTTCTATCGTCGAATCTGGAAAACAAATGATATTATGTAAATATATAAACGATATTTTTACCAAAAAACAAAAAGATATTCTTTCACAATAGAAATATAATATTTTGGAGTTAATACGTACATGCCCTTGAAGAGTACGTAAGGCTCGTAAAGCTTTACCAATCTCATCACCGAATCGATTTTGCGGTTCTTGTTTTTGTATTTGTCTCCTTTCCTCCAAGGATATATTATATCAACCAATTTTAATATCTGATTGAGGAAAATGAAAGAATTAACAATACACATCAAAACACTATTACCAAAATTGTATCTATGAAACAATATTTAGTTTTCTTTGTTACAAAGTAACTAAAAGTTTGATCAGAAGTAGCTTAAATATAAAAAATATTTTAACTAAAAATCCTCTTATTCCTATAAATACCTGGAGGGGTAGTTTGTAACGTAGGGTCATGTAGAGGCTGAACAAAGCCATAGTTGGTATTAGCTTCATTTTTGAGACAGTTATCAAAGAGCCATTGCGACTGCGCAAAGAGTTTTTGGTGAAGAAACAAAACAAAATCTCACGGATCTCTCCATATGTTATTGGGTTTTGGTGAGATGAACCAACTTGGTACACCATGTGAACATTTGAACCTCCAGCATGTGTGGCTGCAGCTGTGATCATCGCGTTTGCCACCATATCCGCTGGTATATTTTTTTTCCATATCCAATAAAAAAAAATTAGGATACAGATCCATGACCCATGTCAATTAAAACAAATATCCTTACAAAAAAAGGATAAAACAAATACCCAGAAAAAAAAAACGAAAAAGAAACCAAAAGAGCCCCAAAACATGATCGAAATTTCGTAAAATATAATAATAAATTTGTGAGTTTTCATTTCAAAACTAATTAGTAATAAATTTATCGACTAATGTCCATTTGAAAGATGTGGGTTTACAACAATTTTTTTTTTTGTGCAAAGAGTGAATTTACAACATCTAAGATCGTTAAATTAGGATCATGTAAACTTACCATATCGCAAACAGAGTTTACATCGACAAGAAAACACTTGAGCACTCCCTTTCCGTATGCAATAATCACGCTATCTACAGTTCTACACACAAATAATATTCGTGTGAGACCAATTGTAACCAGTAAAAATAAAAATCTAAAAAAAAATTACAAATAAATTAAAATCAAATCTATATAGGTTTATTAGAAATCTTGAGTTATTCAATCATAAATAAAATTTCTCTCCTGGAATAGGGACATATTATGTTTAACTTTTTGAATAAAAACTAAAAATCCTAATCGATGATAAATTTACCTTAATCCTTCGATCCAACCAGGAAATGGTTCTGAGAGAGTACTAGTGATCATCGTGGGACGGATAATGACGAGAGGGAGATTTTCTTTATGGTTACCAAGAAGCATCTCTCCCATCGATTTGGTGAAGACATATGTGTTTGGCCATCCATGAAGCTTTGCTCTAATCATTAACATAATACCAAATTATATTTCATTCCATTCCGATGAGTAATATAGATATATATAAGTCATCAACACTCACCTTTCCATGCCGAATTTTTTCATGGAGAGAGTAATGTCTTCTTCTGAACAATCTTGTTCATTGAGTTCCTTCAATCTTTGCTTCATAAGCTTCCTTTCAAGGTTTATATCCAATTGAAGACCATTCTCGTTACGAATCTCTTCCATGATGAATGGTTTTTCAGGTAGGAGACCTGGTTTCTCTCCGCAAACATAAGCTAGATAAAAATATAGAAGTTAGACTAAATGATCAAGAACCATATCATAGAATATATAAAAAGTGAAATAATTTACATCCAGACAAATTTATTGAAATTCCAATAAAATTGTAAACATTACATATCAAATACTAGTTTTTCCAATTTCAATTTGAGTTAGTTAAGAGAATTAACAAATATTGATAGCATAATTTGATAATACTATGTTTTAAGGAATTTTAATGCAAAGATATAATTCCTTTAAAAACAAAAAGAAATGAAAAAAAATATATAAACTAGGAAAGAGTTTAAATACAATTCTTTTTTGGAGAAATAACTAGAAAAAGACTCACCAGTTGAAACATGGAGAAGCAATTGAGCTTTAACACATTTTTTGGCAAAGTTAAGGACATGGAGAGCTCCAAATGTGTTAATTCCAAGACTAACATCATATCTTTTTCACATGTACATATTAAATTTTATTAGAGATAAAATAAAAAGAAAAATAGAAATGTTATATTCAAATGTATTGTAGCCAGTACCTCTCGTCGAAGTTAGTTGTGGCTGCGACATTGACAACAATATCGATTTCTTGTTGTATACATTCTCTGAGTTTAGAGTCCTTCATGCCTAAATGATCCATCGCGATATCACCTGCGACCGGGACAACTTTTTCGGACAACAATGTATTCAATTTCTCATCCCCAAGATTCTCTCTTAACACCTTAAAAAGATCTTTCTCGAATGCCTGTCATATGTATATAATTCAGCTAATTGTGTATTAATATACTTCAGCAAAACGAATATATATATTAGATAGTACATAAAAAGGTTTGTTGGTATATAAACAAACCTCTGTGTGTAAGCGTTTCTTCGCGGCTTCATTGTCGGATGCTCTCACCACGAGGTACAGCTTATTCACATTTGGTTGTACTCTCAAAATTTTCTCCACAAAAACTAAAAAATTATTAATGAAAATTAAGTATTATTCGATTGGTTGTCACTAGTGAAATAATCCATTTAATATTTTAAGGAACCCAGAAGCTGGAACAGTTAAATACATAAACTACACACCTTAATTATTTTGAAGGAATATTTGTTCACAACAGAAGGAGACATCAAAGATTCAAAAGTAATCTTATTTTCATTTTCTTCTTTTTTTCTTTTCCTAAACACCATCACGAGAACTCGAACAATCTTTCTAGCTAGGTACTTCGTCACTCTAAGAACATGTGGACGTAAGTTAACTATGGGTTAACCAAAAGGACCTACCCTTCGCAAGGAAACCGGTTGCGCCGGTCACAAGAATCGTCTTGTTTTGAAGAAAATGAACACAGTTGAATTGCATTGTTTGGACTTTGGTCTAACTTTGAGGAAATGATTTTTGTGTTTTTGGGGTCACCACTCACCAACTAAGAAGAACTGAGTAATAATTATATGTGGCAAAGAAACCTATAGAAGTGGAGGGTTTTTATAGTTGTAAATGACGTAGTACGAAAGTCTATAATACCCTCCAATAATCCTAATTTTAGTAAAATAAGCAAAACCCAATATCTGTTTATGTCCAATGTCCTTTAATCTTCTATAAGATTATGATCCGCGCTGACAACACAAAATCATGTCTTTATGAGAAATAAAAAATTGGATATAAAGGATATCTACTACAATTTTTGTTCATATATACCATATTTTGGTAGATTAGTCATATAGGTTTTTTAAAATTCAAAATCCAAATTTAACCTCATTTTTTTCAAATTTCATTTAAAAAAAAACTTCCAAAATTATTTTAAAAACTGAAATAGAAATCTAAAATCACTAAACCTCCAATTCAGAAAGAGTCTTCAGAGACCTAATAAAAAACGTGTTTTTTTCTTATTCCGTAGAACGACACAAATTAGGAAAAAATCTAAACTCTCTCTGAATTGAGGCCGCCGGCTATAGCTCTGCTGTCTGTGTGTTCGGTGGCATCTGGAGTAAAATAGGACACAAATCCGTGGAAGATGAATGCAAAATTCGTGGAGTAGGGAAGAAGAAGGAAAAGCAAGTAGCGTAAAACACAAATCCATGGGGGCTTAGGGTTTAGAGGATTTAGACAACGATTTCTAAATTCTGTAGATCGTAATCTAAACAAATTAAATTCTATTTAAAACGCAATTTAAATTAATATTTATTTTTCTTTTCTGAAGATTCTTTTTCTATATTTAGAGAATTCTAAAAAATTCAGTAAATGAAATTTACATTTTTGTAGAATTTACATTCTAAAAGAAGAATAAATTTTTTTAACCATGGCAGAACATGCATTAATTGATAGAATGGATATTCAAAAAAAATTAGAACAGAGAACAAAACGTAGAATGCATGTTCCAAATATTTTAGAAATTTGACATTCGGACTTCTGAAGTTTTCATAACGGAAAACAAGTATAATATTCGTTGAACATGTAAAAAATGTAGAATACACACTTTGACTCTCATAGTACTCTAGAAAACGTGTTTTAACAAAATTAGACGAAACTTTATCTATTAAAAATCATTTTTTTCAACTAAATCAAATTTTTTTTTTTTCAAATCATCTCTATTCTTATATATCTACATGTATTTCAGGTTATCTTTTAAAAAAACTGCTTAAAATTAGATGTATGGGTAGTTTGGTCTAAAGCGACAATTTCACGAAAAAGGTATATATGGACAAAAAATATGGTAGACAACTTATATTATATCTAATTTCCCAAATTTTTAATTAATTATTTGATCTAAAAAAGTTGGTAATGTAATTTATATTATATATATATTGTGTTAATGTGTGATCTATATTTGGTATATAGGAGCATGTGTTAGTCTAATACTAATATTAGAGTGTCGTAGTTTTAATATTTTTATCATTTTAATTTGTAATTCGCTTACGAAAAATAATCGGTTGTAAAAAGGAACATATATATATATTAATAATAGGTATGAATACGACTAATGTGTAGTAATATATATTACTATAAGTTTCAAAATATATATATGTGTGTTACTAAATACTTATATAAAATAATAATTTGAATTAGTTCATATTACAATATTTGAACGTATAAACTTAGTAAAAGACCTATTTGTATGTTTCCGTGGATAGTTATGATATTAATTATTTAGTAAAAGACTTGTAACTTGTGTACTCTGTAGTGTATAAAAAATAATAAGATACACATTACACATCGAATCTATTCAATAAGGTTTGGCAGTGCATTCAACTGTTCTACTATACAGAAAATAAAATATATTATATAGAGGATAGGTTGGACCCTTGGAGCTTTCTCTGATTAAGAATAGTTAAAAATGGAATCAATTGATTTTTAAATTGCACCTTATAAAGTTTGTTGTTCTTATTGATACCAACTTTCGAAAGAAGATTAGGAAGCAGTAATTAATATACAAAAGTAGGGAAAATCATTTCTTTGCACATCATTCAATTTATAATATGTATGTTGAAAAAAATTGAAAAAACAAACGACGAGTTAGTATCGTGACTAAATGTTTTGGTTACTAAGAACGTAGGTGTCTTAGAAAAGTCACCAATTCAATTCGTATTGGGAAAGATATGTATTTGTGACTATGTCCACCTATACCATGGCCTGTTTAAAAATTGGGAATTTGGTTGAAAGTGCCATTCAGTGTAGCAAAACTTACTAAAAATGCCACAAAATATAAATCTTTCCAAATGTGCCATAATAGTGGACAAGACTTTGAAACCAAAATTTTTGGTAAACAAGAAATGTTGTCTACCTTTGAAACAACAGATTAGAAAGATATTTGGTGGACAAAAAGTGGTATCCATTTTTGAAACAACAGATTTTTGGTAGACAAGAATTCGAAATTGCATACAAAAATTTTGGTAGACAAAAGATGTTGTCCACCATTATTGCACATTTGGAAAGATTTATGTTTTGTGGCATTTTTGCTAAGTTTTGCTACAGTGAATGACATTACTTTTAATTTTCTCTTAAAAATTTCTACATCTTTATGTAAACATATTCAATCTGCCCCTTGCTAATTCTAGTGGAATGCAAATTTGGAGAAAAAAAAAGAATGTGCTAGATTTTCTTGCAGAAACTTACCAAATCGATCAAATAGAGGTTTAGGTTTTAGAGAAAGTAGCTTGATCATCCCACTAGTTTATGGTCGCTTCCTTTTTTATCTTAAATTAAATATAATAAATTATGTCAAGATTAATGGCTAAATTTTCTTAAGATAGGTCTTTAGAAAACGTGTAGAAATATATTCTACATCAGAAATATGGGAACAAATTTAACTTATATATAATATACATAGAAATATTTACTCATTACCAAGTGATTTTGAATGGAAAACCCAAAAAACTTAATACGATATAAGTTGAATATATGTAAATTCGTTCTCGAATATATATATAGATTTAGAAAATGGCTTCTTATCACAAAGTTGTGCGTAGTAATCTATCAGCTGCAGATGTAATTACGAACAAGGTTCTTATATTCATCTATATTAACTTGCTTAGGATATATTTAGATTTTTTATATCCTTGTTTTACTCAATCATTAGTTGCAAATTATCTCATCAAACGAAATCTCTAGGTCTTTAAATAGTCAAATAGGTAAATGTTTGCTTGAATCTAGACAGAGTTTGGATTTTATTGATATGAGGTATATTGGGCTATTATATCAAGCTTTGTAATTCCATTATTTAGAGGCAAATTCTTTTATATGCGTGTTGTCTCTATTTTCTGAATACTCAATGGGTTTTTGATTGTTATTTTGTGTTAGTATTTTCTTCGTATATAACACTTTGCAATATTTTATATTAATTTTTGTAATGTCTCATCCACCATTTTAATGAGCCCTACGTTCTCTTTTGGTCCGTGGGTTCATTGTTGCCCGACGACCGATATATTACGTTTGAGAAGCCTTAAAGATTTGTTTAACGATCTTACAAATCAACACATGATTTTTTCCCGTGTTTTATCCTCACACACCGTTTCGACAATCACTTTTCGGAAGGTCACCCATCTTGAAATTGCTTGAGCCCAATCACTCTTAACTGTGAAGTTCTCTCAAGATGTTTAATTTAACCGAAAAAATAAGTGCACTTTGACGACATGAATGGGTAAATCAATTATTTTAAAACATTTCTCCCATGAAATCGAGGTGATACAATTTCTTTACTTACAATTTCTTAATATGCTTTCTACAGCATATTTTTTCCTTTTTTTTTTTTTGACGTCTAGATTTATTATTTATTGCAAATTATGAGAACTGTTACATACACGATTTTACAACGGACAATTCCTTCCGACCCTTATTAGATCTACGACAGACGACACTTCCTTCTCCATGCTCTTGACGGACACCTTCAATGATCCACGACCTAACGACACTTCTCTCTCTGCGTAGAATCCTGGCGAACGGCTATAATTGTTCTTCGCTGAAGATCTCCTGCACACTTGCCTCCTTTAATCTGCAAATTTATTAATAAATCGCAATATCTGGGACTCGAACCCCAGACCTCTTGGTGTAGAAGCTTTTCCTTTATAATTGAATTTGTTATTTTATATCTTTAATTATGTTAAGAATCATCTATCAAGAGATCGAATCATAATATCGTGGTACCTAAAAGTGACAATACATATGTTAGGATGCGACAAAAACATCTTATTGAATAACTCTTATAGTCTCTTACATCACAATGAACTCAAACTCTCTCTCTAATTGCCATCTCCATTGCAAAGATAAGCAAACTTTTATCAAAATTTGAAGCGATAAATCTTTTTGTGTTTCAGTTTTCATATTTTATGATAGTAGAAAAAATTTATTTTCATTTCTTTAATTTGGTTAATTTCAGGATATATAAATTTTAAAGTACTGAAAATCTATTTAGAAGAAAAAAACAAAAGACTAAAAAAGATAAGAAGCATTAATCTATTGTGCTTTATGCCAATACTATTCTGTTGTCTTATTTTTTATTTTTTTTTTCTTTTATGAAACATATATTGTCCCATTCATGTATTGTTGGTATGGTAGAATATAATTAAACAAAACCTATTGTTTTAAAATAATTCTTTGGTAGGTGAGATCTTTATGTTAGGTGAATCAGAACGTTGAAAGGCAATTTTATGTCTCATGGAGCTATTAAAACCATAGGAATCAATACTTAATCAACTTTGTCTCTTGTAATTAATAACAATATATTCTACAACAAATTTAGCCATTTGTGTAATTTTTTATCTTGTTATATTTATTAGTCTTTCTCTAGGATCATTGATTGTGAGCAACATTATACAACCAACTTTGTATGTAATATTTACTAAACAAATCAGATAAATAAAATTTTAAAAATTACACACGAAATATGTTGCAAATACATAAATTTTAGTTGTGGGTACTTAAAATCAATCCACATGGAATGAATGATGCACAACAAATTTATAGAAGATAATCACAAAAATAAAGATGGGGTTTTGTTTTTTAGGGTTTTGTCACAATTATGTTAAATGAACAATTAAAGTAAAAGTAGAAAGTAAACAGCAAATAACGATCACGATCGATAAGTCACAAACGAAAAACGTTGGACATACAAGTCGCGACTTGCGGTTACAAAAAAATTATGGTGGCAAAAGGTTGTGGTGAAGTGAAGTGGGCGGACCGAATAGGGAAAGCAGAGACCAAAGTAACCAGAGAGAAGAATGGAGATTGTGATGGGAATGGAAATCCCGACGCCGGCAAGCAACGGTTTCACCGGCGTAGGAAAGCACTGACACAAAAAATGCCTCAAATTAAAAATGGTGCCCAGGAGAGAAGTTTTGCTCTAAGAAAAAAGTTTTCAAGACTTGGAAAGAAGGAGAAAGTTCTAAAAAAAAAAAAAAGTTTTTATCCTAATTTTTTAGACATCAAATCTCAAATGGATGTTTAAACTACTCTCATAAACTTAAAATATTTATTTCTAACAACGTAACCAGTCTCACGCAGCCAATTAAACTCTCAAGTAACACATTAATTTTCAATTGATCAATTCGAAGAAAGATCACGTATTGATTTGTAGGATTATAAAACAAGTATTTGGAGCCTCCAAAAGTAGCGAACCGACTTTCAGAAGAGGGTAGAGCCCACGGGCCGAGGAAGGAAGTGGGTACCTATAAACAATTAATGGTAGTTAGGGAGTTACAACCTTACCAATTTTTCAATACCATTCCAATCAGATAAAGTAGGCGATCCTAAACTTTTTTTTCCCATTTTATACTTCTAGAAAATAGCCTTTGTACAACTTTATTTCAACCTCTTTGTACAACTTTATTTCAACCTCCAGCCTATGATCCTATCAAATGTTAACATGTACTTAATATCTCGTGTTGGCATTAGATGAGTAGAATTTCACCTTGTTTTTCAATTGAAGGTAGGCTTCCCCTAGTTATCTTCCTTGTGTCAACCCGAAATGATATTTCTATTTATTTGATAATATTTATTTGAAACAATTTTTATTTCCTATGCTTCATGGTTGTAATTTATATTTTTTTAAATAATATTTCTTATTTAACTTTTGACCCAAAAATCGCAAAGATTTCTTACCATCTTATATATATATATATATAACTATTCCTCAAACTGGGCTTCTTAAAAAAAATGGGTTTGGCCACAAGCTTTTATAACGAGAAACACAAGTACAAAGCAATGAATCGGAAAAATCAACGCTGGAACCGGAAAAGAAGATCGGATCCTAGTGAATATCGAAATACAGAGAATACGACACATTAGCATCGGCAGATGCAAGATCCACAATTTTACAGTAAAATAGAAGGATCTTTGAAACAATGATGAAAACATATGATTTGCATCGTCGTACCTTTTCCAATGGCCCAACCTTTTCTGGAATGGTCAACTCTCCGACAACATGGCTCGCCGTTGTTAGCTTTCCAATCTAGTAAACTGGCAAGCTCAGATATAATCCCTCTCTTCTAGATCCAATAATTCCCTAATTCCCCGAGTAGGAAGCCCTTCGATCCAGTCAGGAGCAAGTAGAAACCTGGTGATTTCAAAGACCCATAGCCCAATCGAACACCTGGAAACTAGACTCCACGACCGACATCAAAAATCCAAGTGGATCTACGATTAACCTCCACGACGAATCAATGCAACCCTCCTTCCCGTAACGACTTTCGCCGTAGTCACAGCGGCAGAATGCTACCAGACCGACGTCCTCTACCGAGAATGGAATAAACAACAGAGCTATCATTTCCTCAATTGGGAGCCACAACTACATCGAACACAAAAACGTTTGACAAGCAAGGCTGGAACAAAAACTTTTGACAACTTTTCAAGAATTATCCTCGGTGCATTTTGAAACCCAAATATAAGAAAAGGGTATTTTGGTCATTTGTTGGTATTGGACTCTTGAAATTGTAACGTCAAAGTATCTTCTTTGGATAGTTCATCCTCTGCCACTTGTTCAAGACGAGGAGGTTTGCGATGACTTTTACGAGATTCCTTCTCAACACACTTTGAATGAGTTGGCCTTCCCGTGAGTACAAATCTTCTGGCCATTTCATTAAGCAACTCCTTGGTAAGATATTTTTTTAGAATACCTTCCATCTCGATCATCCAACTCTTTAATTCAGAAATCATGGAGGCGATGGGGGATGGATCTGATTCTAGGCCTCCTTTTCTAGTTCCAGATTCATGGCGGCTTATTTCAGCAGATGTGGGTGCTACTTCATACAATGTGGAATCTGCATCCAATGTATCAGTTTTAAGCCTTTTGGTTTGTGACCTTGTAAATACGAGTATGCGGTGTGGACTGCTCATTGAAGATTTGTTTGGGAGGAGGTCTTTTCTTTGTTGATGCCTTGCCTCTTTTTTGCTTTGCACGGGTGACTTTGGAAGACTTTCCATTAACCACATCATCTGAATGTTGAACACTAGATTGGTCCACAGTTTCCGCTTGGACTACAAGATCAACTTGGTCCACAACATTATTTTGGCTTTATTTGGGCGGGTACGGGGTACAGATGCAAAGCCGCCTAAAAATCTGTAGGGGAGAAACAATGGTCCACATATAGTAGTGTTTCCAACATTTCAACTTGAGGGTCGAAAACCTCTTCTTCTCACCAGAATTCAGATTCATCCACAGGATATTCTACTTACAAAATCGGTTGCACAGTCAACTGCATATTAAAACATTATATCAACAGGGGTACAGGGTCAGTGTGCGTTAGAGAAGGGTACAGTCTTAATGTATTGAGAGTACAGAGTTGGAAGTACCTGGGGTTCAGATTCAACTTGAAGAGTATTGTTGTCACTGAGGAGGGTAATGGATGAGTTTGCATCCTTTTGGATTCGTGAGAAAGGAAGTCATGTCATCGGGTGTGGGAGTCGTGTTCAAAAGCAAGGGGATGGTTTGAAAGGCTAGAAGCTGTAAAGGAAGGGGCCACCCGTAACAAGCACAATTATTCTGCATTAAGCAACTGGTGAGAGTTTCAGTGGCAGAAGATATCGAAGGGGGACCGAATCTAGAGAAAATGTCGATGAAAGACTTTCTCCAACCACGGAAAAGAAAGGAAATAATCAATGTCATCGAGCAATGCAACCGTGTCAGCAGAGACTTTAATTTTTGTTGGAGCATAAGACTATACCATCAACAATGACAATCAGAGCCAATAGTAACAATTTTCAAGCATCCAATGTGGGATCTTTAAGATTGGTGATGACGTTGTCTAAAGAGGGTACATTGGAATTAGCACCAAAAAGCTTGTTCCACATTGTGCTTCTTGCAGATTTCTGGGCTTCAAAATCAGCGAGACTTAGGAGCGGAGAACATCACAATCCAGTGATGATGTGGAATTCTCTAAGGGAAAATTTTAGTGGTTTCCCACCAAAAAGGGTCCACATCTCGTATTTTTTGTTTGTTACCAGTTGACGACACAACAATCCATGGATCAATTTCACCGAATTTGCACAACAGTAAGCAGCTAGGTTGAATAGATTATCAAATTGAGAAGCCAAAAGCGACTCCAATACATCGTTTCCTTCCAAGACGTCGACCAACTTACCAATTAAATTTGCTTTGGAGTATATGTTCAATCTCGCCTCGCGTGGGTATCCATTAATGGCGAATAGGCAGCGTGAATACATTAAACTACCTAAAAACTAAACCCTAATTAAAACTATCCATTTTGTTAAATACAAATAAAAAAAACTATCCACCCAATTAAAATTCCCAAATTTTATTGATTTTCGCATTTATATCACCAATAAAAGAAGATAATATTTATTTGCATTGCAAATGTAATTCTTTGAAATAAAATATATTTTTAAAATAGTATAGATGGTATAAATTTTCTTACCAACAAACATATATTAAAAAAATCTTATAAACTGCTTAAATGACCAGATTTTCTTTACTTTGCATTGTGCTTGTAAAATCATTGACTCGAACTCTACTAACTACACAAACAAAATGTTAAAAGGAAAATAAATTAGTAGTTAGATGTTAGGTCAATTATGAACATTGATGGTTCATAATTGAACCGGTTTCCCCAAAAAATTGAAGGTAAAACTGGAACCGTAGATAACCGGAAACTGAAGAAAACCCTAACTATAAATATAAACTCATCATCCTCTTCCTCCACTTTACACTTTCTCCAAAAGCTCGTAGCTTCCTGCTCCTCAAATCTTCTTGGTAACTCTTCTTTCAATGTATCTGAAATCGATCTCTCTGTGATCAATTCCATTTTCTGACTAATTTGAATTACTCTTAAGCAGAAAATGAAGGTTGCCGCTGCTTTCCTCCTCGCTGTTCTTGGCGGAAACGCTAATCCTTCTGCTGATAATATCAAAAATATCATCGGAGCTGGTAAATTTTTTTGCTTTTGAATGATTAGATTGTGTTACTGTGAATGTCTAAGTAGCAATTATGATTTGGGAAGTTTCTGCATTTGCTTTATTTTAGCTACAAGAGTTTTAGTTTGATTAATGGAGCTAAAGAGGTATAGATCAATGGAGGAAGAGAATATAGTTTTGTTCACTGTATATGATTATTAAAGGCCTTTGTTTTTGTTATAGATGATTTATGGGTTTGTTGTTGCTGTGAAATATTGAAATTAATGTGTGTTTTGTGTGTAGTTGGTGCTGATGTTGATGGAGAGAGCATTGAGCTTCTTTTGAAAGAAGTGAGTGGTAAGGATATTGCTGAGCTGATTGCTTCTGGTAGGGATAAGTTGGCGTCTGTGCCGTCTGGTGGTGGTGGCGCTGTTTCAGCCGCTCCATCAAGCGGTGGTGGTGGTGCTGGTGGTGCTCCTGCAGCTGCGGAGAAGAAAGAAGCCAAGAAGGAAGAGAAAGAAGAGTCTGATGATGTAAGCAGTTCTCTCTTTATCATTTGGTTTCCTTATTACTTAAGTCTTTGTTATGGTATTGGATTGGGTCTTGATATTTTGCTCATGATATTGGTCTTTATCTGACTCTGTTTGTTATATTCCTTTGCTTTGATGCAGGACATGGGATTCAGTCTCTTCGAGTAAGATTTATTCCCACGGAAATGAGTAGAGATTTGATTTTTTGTACTCTTAGTGGATCCGGTTTTTGCTCCTCTCTTCTAGTTTGGTATTATCAAAGATTCTTGGTTAACAAATTTGACTCCATAGATAATGAAGCAAGAAGAGTTTTTTTTTTAATCTACTATTTTGTGGCTTTGCGGGTTATTCATTGAGCTTTTTTCTTTTGATTTACATCATGATTCTATCTCTTCTGTATTACCTAGTAATGAATCTGGTCTAAGCATGTAACTTACATAGCTTAGCTCATAGTTAGTTAGTATATCACATAATAAGTGCTTAAGAGGGTTAGATTTTGATACACACCTCTTGCAAAAGTTGATCCTTAAATAAATAGAAGAGATCCAAACGAAATTGAGATAGTGTTTATAACTTCAAACATTGGTTTTGCCTTTTAAGACAACCCCGTGAAGCTTTGATAAATTTGAAGAAAGTAAATCAACTCTATTAATAAGCGGTACTGAAATAACAACATTAGAAGTTGAAGTCTTTGTTCACTAAGCATTCGCATGAAGTTGTTTGACAGAAATACAAAAATAATGTTCAGTAGTATCAAGAAGATGATGCCACCAACTCAATCTGATCTGCTCTGGCACAACAAACATATCCAACAATTCGATCCATCTCATATAAACCAAAGTTCAGATTAGCCGCAAGACCAACTTCCAAGCACAGAACCAATCCCGGGGTACGGATCAGCAAAGATTGTTCACTATCTTTGAGAGAAGAGCAGAGATGCTAAGATTTCGGAACAGTGACATTAAGTATCTTAACATCCTGGTAAGGCCTGTCGTTCTTGTCTGTCTTCACTTTCTCTATACCCTGTATTCATTTGGTTTTATGGTTAGACACAAAGTCACCCTAAGCCAATAAGTAAAAACATTCTTTTTGGTTTTCAAATCATACCTGGACGACGTCCATTCCCTTCACAACTCTTCCAAAAACAGTATGCTTATTGTCTAGCCATGGCGTAGCCACTGTTGTGATAAAGAATTGCGACCCATTTGTGTTTGGGCCAGCATTTGCCATAGACAATGTGAACGGCCTGTCATGCCGTAGACTGTAGGCCAAGAAGAACAACAACATATCACAAACTAAGTTACATTTCATTCGTTTCTAAAGGATGGCTAAACTCAAAGCAGGCATGGCAGTAAGAAATATTTACCTTTTGTGAAACTCGTCTTCAAATTCTCTGCCCCAAATTGACTGTCCTCCAGTACCATCCCCAAGAGGATCTCCAGTCTGTATCATAAATCCTCTGATAACCCGGTGGAAAAGGTGGTTATCGTAATAGCCATTTCTACAGTGTGTTGTGAAGTTCTCCACAGTTTTGGGACATTCTTCTGGGTAAAGCTTCATGTGAATGTCGCCCAGCGTGGTATGCATGATCTGGATAATTAGGAGTTAAAAGAATTATTGTGTTAAAGATCCAAATTACAGACTACGTAATGATTAGTAAAACAGATGCAAACATCGTGGGTTATGAAAACATACCACGTTCTCTGGAAGAGATGTTGTGGCTGAGTTTCCAATATCTGAGGCAGCCATAAGTTCATCAGCAGCAGGCTTCTCGTTGAACACATCTCTCCCTTGGCTTGCATCTTCAGGTTCTTCTGGCTCTCTCCGACTGCAGAAACCAATTTATTGATAATAAAATTCAAAGTAGTTCGCGGCAATATCAAGGTATATCTAGAGAAAACATCAGAGACCTTTCTCAAAGTAGAATCTAAAGGTGTGAAAACAGATTTCTCTCCCCGGCAACATAAACATGAGTCATTTTAGCACGATATTAGTCACGTACCTGAACATATAGATCCTGTGTTTCTTGAAGGCACAGCATAAGATAGTCGGATCAGTCAAAGGCTCCTTGCTTTCATTTACATTTGCTGCAGCTGCCGGAATCTTTCTAACTTTCTTGCCTCCTTGATCACCTTGATATAATGCAACTCTCAGATACCTTTCATTACTCTCCACCTTTCCAAGGATCCTTGCAACTGTGTTGGTGTGTAAATTTATTATCTAGAGAACAAAAGGGTTGACAGAGAAATTAGCAGTTGCTTGTTATGATTCCATTTACTACGCATGGAAGAGTTCTGAAACAATCAAACTATAGAAACTGGTTCGCTTTTACATAATGATATTATGATATTCTGGAAATACATAGATATTGAGGGATTGTGATAATGGAGCTCCTCCCACTCCCCCTTAGACACCCAAATTTACGATAAAATCCTAAGCTTCTTTCCTCTACATACACTATATTGGCAGAGAGCATAACCACTTTAATATATGGTACAAAGAAGTAACCACATTAAATCTTGGTTACTGTATCACCTAAGTAAAGGCTAGCCAGTGGTTAAAGGCCCAGGTCTATAAGCTCGTTAATTGTATCATGTGCATGTGAGACAGGATACTTATCATGTCTAGGCTGATATGCTAGTCTATGGTAATTTAAAACGAAAAAAATAATAAGTGGATTTCTTACTTTTATTCCAAGAAGAGTGGCGTATATAAGGAAATTAGAGCTTTCATCAAACACAGCATTGGGCTGCGGAGCACTCTCAGTTTTTTCAAGTTCCTTCTCAACTGCCATTCTTCTACCAAAGTCAATAGCTTCAAGCCTGTATAATGGAGCATCACTCCTCTGCAGATCTTGGGCCACCTAATAGTGGAATGGATCATTAAATCATGAAAGATTAATGTGAAAACATGCAAGGGAAGAAGCATAGAATATGTAACCTTACCTCAAGTGACTCATCATATACCCGCCTAAGTTTACCAGTTCTAAACCAGAACACGCGAATCCTACGATCAGGAGATGTAATGGAAAACTGTCTACCATCTGGACTCACCTGAAAATAATTTCACTAAATTTAGAGACCAAAACTTGCACTATGATTTTCACCAGACATAACAATTGCTAATAGCTGCATTCTAAATTGCTAATAGCTGCATTCTAAGCATGAAAAGAAAAACCAAAGATACTAAATGCCACATAAGTACCTCAATGGCAGAGATTGTTGTTTTGCACTTTATAATCTCAAAGAGATTTGTATCACTCTTCAGTTTAAAGTTTACCCTACAAACAAGAAGTAAAAAGTCAACTTGTGAACCATAAATGAAAGCAGCTCATCAACTATTTCAAATACTAAAGATGGTCAACAAAGAAATTGGCAACTAAAATATTTCTACTACAGGCTCCTTGCATCATTCTCAGTAATATTAATTTTAACTACATTAGCCACAGACAGAAAAACAGGCATGCTCCTCTTACCCTACAGGCTACAAGTAATAGAAAACAAACAGCAATACCGAAATGGAAATAATAAAAGCGTTTTTGATAAGAAGTGAGACAAGTACATACTCATCCTCGGGAAACTGCAATGTAGCTGGACTCCAGTACTCAATGATTCCTTTTGTGTCACCAGAGATCATTGTGTCCGAAACAGGATTGTACTTCATGATCTTAATTGGATTCATATGTATCTGGGCATACAAAGATTAAAACACCGTTTTAGCTTTGTAAAATATGACGAATCAAGAAATAGCAACAAAGAAAAACAGATGAACACGAACCTCTTTTGAAGCAATGGGTTCGTTGGAACCAGAACGGGGATCATAAATGTGCACAAACGAAGAGTCTCGGTCACTGACAGCAAGTTTAGCTTTGACATCCCCTTGTTTGTAGACCCACTCAACAGCACCAGGGATATACGGCAAACGGATCATGGCCATCATGTCGTAGTTGACAACATCATATATTTTAACAGCATGATCATTTGATATTGTACAGCAAAGCAAACCATCAATGCTAACCTGCATTGCTGAAACGGGTCATGGTTGATAACAGAACTAGAAACAAACACAAATATTGCGGAAACCATAACATGTCATACTATAATTTCCCCCCAGGTCGACTAACTTCATTCAATAAATAAATAAAAAGCTAATCTTTACATGGAGCAGAAGCCTGGATTTGAGGTGACAGTATCTTAAATCGAAAAAAAAGAGTTCACATTAAAATATCACTGGTGATACTTACCGCTAAACCTTCAATTGGACCGAGATGGGAGCGGAAATGCTTAGCAAACTCGATACCAACACCCTTTTTCTTCCAAAATTTCAAGTGACCTAGATTATGAAAAAGATCAGGAGATAGAGAAACGAAATTAGAAATCACATAAATATCACAAAAGATGAGAAACATTACCATCCATGCTTCCACTGATAAAGAAATCAGCTGCTGAAACAGCAACATGTGTAACTACATCCCGATGCATATAACTTTTCTCATACCTGGAGAAAGAGATACAAGAGTTCACTTTTTCAAGACCAATTCACAGATAATAAGCTGATAAATTCCAACAACAATACTAATCCAATAAGCTCAAGTTGAAGCAGTAGGTTATGGAGAAGAAGTACCAATTCTTTGAACGTAAAACCCTAAACCCGAAAACTTGATTGATGAGTAACAGAGAGTGTTCCAAAGGCACAAGACATACTTACATATTAGCAGAAGGAAGCGAATCAAGATAAGCTTGCTCGAATTGAAGCGGACGCTTGCGCTTTCCTCGTGGAGCTGGTCCAGGTCCGACCATCGCCTCCTCCTCTTCCACTTCAAGCGGCACCGCAACCACCGCCAGTTCTTCAGTCGGAATCGTGGTTCCACCATTCTTCGATTCTTCCTCCATTGATTTCTACTCTCTTCCTCAACTCTAAAACCTCTTCGTCGATTGAAAACAACTTCGAATTTTGAGAGAGAGACAGTGAGTGAAATAAGAGAGAAGAGAAGTAGATTCATGGAACTAAATATATCTATTGGGCCTGACAAGCCCATATATTTATGAACCTAGCCCAATTGGACTCGTATTAGTAAAAATCGACTAGTTGAAATATCCGACATCAGAAGTGGCATGAGATTTTGATTCATATAAGAGAACTCTTGATCGATTCTTGGTTTGAGATTTTGTTGTTGTTTATTGCAAACTCAAGAAGTTCTGCGAACTACATAAACAAATTTCAATATGTGTTATTATAGCTCTTATAGATTCATGAAGCTTCTTTTATACATTTGATAATTTTTAGTATAGATTATGAAAATTGTGACATGAGGAGGATTTTTAGTTTCATCTTCTTCAGACATATGAATACATATCTATTAATTTATGTACACACACATACATATTGTGACTTCATGTGTTGAATTAAACAGAACACAACCAATACC